AAGAGCCAGCAGCCTGGAGGTCTGGGTCGACGACTTTAATGATTGCAATGCATCATGGGATCATTTCAAAATGGCGGACACACACGTGTAGACTTTGTTGTGCTTGATTGCTGTTTAAATTATAGAGATGTTTTGCTCTAGCTGTGGAAAACCAGTTAACGATGGCGACCGATATTGTGCTCAATGCGGACAAGGTGAGGTTTTCTTTTGCTTTACCACGTTGTCATACAAAGACCTCTACTAGTTTTTTAACTAGTTTCGAAAGTTTTCACGAAAGGATATAAGCTAAACTTAACTCATCTTCATACCAAAGGTGTTGCTTCATCTTCAAATTTATCCCAGCCTGGAAGTTCAAACTGCACAGGTATTTGTCCATTTTACTAGTAATTCATGTTTGAAATGCACTAGCCCAGTAAAAACAAGGCTTTTAAACATGATTATATGTGCTTATAATGTTTATAATTATTTATTATAGGTGATTATATGTTTGTAGTTAAATATTCAATAATCATATTCCCTAGTCGTTAATGCTTCCATGTTTTTTCTTCTTCTTTTATTTAAGAGAAAAGCTTTCACACCACTTGTCCATCATCAGGGATAAAAAAAATATTCCCCCTCCATTAAGTAATAAATCTGTAAAGGAGTGCACTAAAACAGTGAAGGGGTTTCATATGTGTACTATATAAGTTCAAGATTCTCAAAGTGTTCCATTACACTTGAAATTTAACACATTCTTATCTACCTTTTTCAAGGTAATCAGCAATCAGATGACTCAGATAGTAGCTTAGGTGGACTAGAAGAAGAGAATGATGAGGAAGAGGCAATAAAGTACTACTTCAATTGTGGATTTAATTACCAGGAAATCCTTGCCTTTCTTGCTAAACGTCATGGGATTTCACTTAGCTATAGTACACTGCTTCGACGTCTCAAGAAACATGGTTCAAATAGAAGAGGGATTGCCAATAGTACAGAATTTAATGATACGTTATTGAAAGTGCAAAAGCGTATAAGTGAAATTATTACTGGTCCTGGATCATCCTTAGGCTATCGAAGTATRTGGCACACACTAGAAATGGAAGGTCTAAGGGTTCCAAGGAAGATAGTTCAAGACCTTCTAAAAGAAATGGATCCAGAAGGTACAGAATTGAGAAAAAAACATAGATTAAGAAGAAGATGCTATCGTAATCCAGGGCCTAACTATGCCTGGCATATGGATGGCTATGACAAACTTAAGCATTGGGGATTTCCCATACATGGTGCAATTGACGGTTTTAGTAGGAAGATTTTGTGGCTTAAAGTTACTCGTTCAAATAACTCACCAATCAGAATTGCTGATTATTTTGTACAGACGGTTATTAAGCATGAAGGATGTCCAGTGGAATTGGTTACTGACCTGGGTACTGAAAATGGTCTTGCGGCATCAATACAAGCATTTTTTCGTGACAATCCTGATGCTCACCGTTATGTTTCATCACCTAGGAACCAGCGAATAGAGGGATGGTGGTCATTTTTTTCAAAAAATCATTCAATATGGTGGAGAAATTTTTTTCGAGATTTAGAATCACAGGGAATCATTGATACTTCTTCTGATTTGAGTATGGAGCTACTTTGGTTTTGTTTCAACAATATCCTACAAGAAGAGCTAGACATGATAAAAGAACACTGGAACACTCACTCAATTCGAAGGTCCAGACATGAAACAGTTCCTGGAAGGCCAGACTCTATTTAC